TCTTTCTTTCTTTCTTTCTTTCTTTCTTTCTTTCTTTCTTTCAATGTATTTAGGACAGGGTCTACAGGGTCTCACTACACAGATTGAACTCATAGTGATCCTCCTTTTGTTCAGCCTCCAAGAGCTAGGATTATAAACTCGTGCCACCATGCTCAGTTTCAATCACCATCTCAGTGTGCCCTGGGGGCGGGGCCAGCACAGCCTTCCCTTCTTCTTGAGCAATAGCCACTAGCCATATATATATATGTGCTAAACTCTATACTTACAATAGTAAAAAACAGTCTCTAAAGTAAAATTAAAAAAAAAAAAAAGAAAAAGAAAATTAAAAGCAAATTAAAGGGGCTGGGGAGATAGCTCAGTAAAATAAGTGCTTGCCTGGCCAGTGCAAGGGCCTGAGTTCAATCTCCAGTTCCTCAAAAAAAAAAAAAAATTGGAAATTGAAGAAAAACAAACTGCCTCAGGAAGTGGTTAATATTGTCACATGATAAGCAGTGGACACTGCCTGAAACTCAGAACAACACCCAAAATCTTGGGGCTTTGGTGTAACAGGAATAGATGACTTGAATCTACACTGAGTCTTAACAGGCTGGTAAACTGGAGGTATGTCTGTTCAGGCAGTAGCAACAGAAAGTGTAAAAGCTCAATGACTAGAGAAAATTTGCCCACATTAGGAGCTAAGCCAGGACAGAGTGGAGATGAGGCTGGGGCAGAGTGGGCCTCATTGAAGACACTAAGGCATCTGTGTTTTTTCCTGGAGGAAAGAGACAATCACAGGAGGGGCTGAGGCACAAGAGTGGCAGCATCAGCTCACTCTAAATAGCTGACTCAAAATACAGATTGAAAGTTATATACAAGTCAAACAGGACATCAACACTTTCACTGGATACTTTCACTTTCAACTGGGTGGATGGTGATACCACCCACTAAGGTACAAAGCATGGGAGGAGTAAATTTGGAGTAAAAGATGAGCCTGGGGTAGGGCACACTGTGTTTGAAGTATCTAGTGAGTGGCAGTCTGAGCTGGACATCTAGAAGAACAATTTGGGTTGATTCAGAATCATCAACTGAAACGATAATAACTGAAACCAAGACAGCAAATGATCAAGGATGAGGATACAGTGACAGGAGGATTGGGGATAGATTCTACAATTACAAACACCTAAGTGATTAGAAAAGGAGCAAAGGAATGTCCAGTTAAGCTATCAGAACATGGGGAGATAGTAAGGAGCCCTAGGTACACAGCACACTAGGTTACAGTTTCCCTAGGATCCTAACTCTTAGGCCAGGTCATTAGTGATCATGTTCATAGCTTTTACTCTAGGTAACCATGAAACTGTAAGACACCTATACCTCTGAG